GAGTCAAGTCAACAACAAGTAAACATGCAACAAACGATGAGCAAGGAATGTAATTTTAAGGAACTTTAGCTATAGACAAACATACCTTGCCAAATCGCAGAGAAAGCCAAGAAGAAGTCGATGGAATGTGAAAAGACTTATTGAAGAGGCGATTATATGATATATATATTTGAAACCCTAGTTAATATAACTTTTCCTTTTATATATTTTCCTTTTATTATATTTTTTTTAAAACAAGTCAATATACATTAAAAAAACAGTTTTAGTCGAAAACGTTTAAGAAACAGTTTCTGGATTCGATTTCTTCCATCCCCAATAATTCTTGTTGTCCCCAACGTGTAAGAAACGTTTTCGGGACGTTTATGTGCCGTACCCACGCCGTATCCATCCCGGGACGTTTCCGGTACGCGAGACGTCAAGCAAAAACCGTCCCCGTGCATCAATCTCGCGATGTCAAATCGTGTGTTCTTTTTTTTTTTAATATATATATATATTTCTCTACTCTTGTAATTTTACATATTTACGGTTGGAGTTTGGGCTTAGTTCTAGTTCTAGGTGGAATCTCTCCATGTTGTTTCTTGTTTGTGTCATATGTGTTAATTTTCTTCTCTTCATTTATTGGAGGCTGCTAGAATCCAATTAAATAGTGACCATAACGTGCAAGTAAGAGCTTGTGGAAGAGAATCATAAGTCGAAGATATGTGATACATATCTTTCTCTGGATGCCGAAGTCCTCTCTTCCGATGTTGGTCAAGGTAGGGCCGTTGGAACTCGTTTTTGACAAAATGGTTTACGATCATTTTCCGGTGAGATTTTGGATGGAAACATTCATCGGAATGACCGGATTTTAGACACGATAAAATTTTCCCCGTAAACACCATATCATAGTGTAATTAAATTGTGATGAATGAGAAATGAAGTTTTAAAATGGGTAATTTAGAAAAACGACCTTTCAAATTTTTAACTAAGTGTCAAAAGTGTTAAATCCCGTACTGAATATTTGGATTTTGGTTTGGATTTGCTAATAGGACTTTATGCCCATTAACTGATTTTCAAAGTAATCTCCATCAATGACGATTGGCAATGGCAACAATAGACGATGCAGGATTCACGACAGCCAAGTGAGATTTTGTAGTAAGGTCTACCACGATGACTAGAAGGTTTCCATTTGATCGTATTTTGTAGTAAGATTTTGTAGCTAGATGACTGATAGCAACGACGAGAAGGTCGAAGTGGAGTGGTGTTGGAACGGCAAGCTCGCTAGCAATATTGTTGCGTGCTTTCAAATTAGTTAGTTCATTTTTGTTTGTATATGTATAAATTAAAAAAAAAATAGATGAACACGTTCATTTTTTCATATAGTACTAGGTGAGTAGCTGCGTGATGCGCGGGTTTTCTTGTGAAGGTTTGTAGTTAATAGTGATTCACAATTTTGTGTGTTAAAGATGATGAAACCTAGTTTGTATGGAAATTCTATCCGAGGTGCGTCCGTTTGCGAAAAGGTTTTGGAAACCAATTTTTGGAAACGCCATGAAAACGCGTTTTTTAGAAATCTCAATTTGGAAACAAAACGGAAACGTTCGATTTTGTTTTGGAAACGCAACATACACTTGTTTTTTTAACGTAATAATTAAATAGTTTAGAAATATAGAAATATATCTAGTATTTGTATAAATTAAAAACATCAAAATTATGAACAATTGCGTTTGTTTGCAGACTAAAAACAACAAAGTTATTATATATATGTACATGTGTGTGCGTTTCCAAAGCATATTCGTCTCCTAAATTTTGTTAATATCGTTTTCTCGTTTCTGAACGTTTTGTTTTGTCATATCCGTTTTTGTTTTCATGCAACCTAGGATGAAACAAACCACCGGGTTTAAAGAATATTGTCTTCATATATATATCTACATAGTAAAACAATTTTTTTCCAAAACAATTAAATTTATTCACGTTAAAGTTTTTCGAACAAGTCTGAGTCCGTAGAGCTAGATCCAAAAACCCCTAAGGCCCTAACTTGTACGTGCTTAGTTTGAGAGGTCCAATTTTCTTGGTTCTATAATATCTACGGCGCATCCATTGTTTTTATAAGGTCAGCTCGGAACATCCTTTGAGCCTATTTGGCATGTGTATAAGTAATACATGTAGATTCTAAAACAACAATGTTATACGTACGTAGACTTATTATAATTCATCGTATTCGTAAACAACAAAATATTTGAGAAAGGAACGGTCCTTACCATAACCATACCATTAAAGCCATTCTGATTTTAATCCAACTGTTTTTGGAACTTATGCTGAAATGATTTTAAATTTTTAATGAAGGATAATGAGTAACTGGTAAAGAGATAAAACAAAATCTCTTAACACGAAGACTGCAAGTTGTCATCTCAGAAGATATTGTTGTCTCTACTAAAACACCCAAAACATCAACTTTCTTTTTTCAACTATTCCAATTGTTGTTAGAGAAAATATAACTGACACATGATATATTTACAATCCTTGGCCAAAGAAGATTTACCCTTTATGTTCCTTGCATCGATGAACAAATAGCCTTACATGCTATTAAAATAGATTTCCATATTTTCTCAAATCCTGGAAGAAAAAGAAGAATAGATGTGTTGCTCAATTGACGACAAAAAAAAAGTGTACTGCTCAACTGAATTGTGGTGGCAACTGATTTTCCCTTCCTTCAAATCGTTTACTGTCAAATTGAATTTTGGAAGATAAAAATTGAATTTTAGCTCTCAATTTGACTGTTTGGAGTAAATCAGAGACATTTTTAAACGATTAAAAATTATATAAAAAATACTAAACAGGGGTCAAACCAGAGCATCAACAACACGACAAGAGG